CCTGTCTTCCCACCCACCCCCCACCCTGAAAACACACCAAAGCTAACTCCCATCCCTATGGCCCGCCTTGGTGGGCAGAGAGGGATGAACTGCCCGGAACTAGAAGGCCTTCTCTTGGAAGAAAGAACAGTCAGGTGCAGAGTGTGTGGGGAACTCGGCCTCCAGTCTGCCACGCTGATGACTCAGAAGCTAAATATAGTGAGTGATATAAACAGAGCCAGCCACAGAGCAAACACAGGGCCCCCAAGCCCCAGCACAGGCTCTCACGAACATTAGGCTTTTAGCGACCCCTCCCCCAGTCCCACTTTTCCCTTAGCACTGTCCTGCATAGACCTCCTACTCCTGGGACAGAAGATGGCTTCCTAGGGGCACTTTTGACTCTAGGACAAATCTCTGGGGCTCCTGCTCTCTAGAACCTGAGTGACCTCATTAGCCATGGTCTCTGCTCCAGAAAAACCACTCACCAACATGGAGAGCATCCTAAGGGTCAGAAAGCAGTCAGGGATTCCCAGAACAAAGGATCCAGGATGCCGGGCAGAGAAGCTACTAGGTGATGAACCATGCAAACAGCAATCTGGATACAACTTCCGAAAGAGCGCCCCAAGAATTATAAAGTCAGACCCAAACAAAATGCCAAATGCATGGTGTATGTGTGCATGTACTAGGCAAGTTTTCTCCCACTGATGTATAGCTTCCTTTGTGAGACAGAGTGTTACTAAGTTGCCCTGGTGGTCCTTGAACTTGCGATCCTTCTGCCTTGCTCCACCCTTGCTAATAGCACGTGTTCAACTCTCCAAGCTATCATAGTTCCTTCTTTTTTGCTTTTTTTGCAGCCAGGAGTATCAAAGCCAGGGCCTCCAGGATGCTAGGCAAGCCTCTAATGCCCACCTGAGCTATAAGCCCAGGCCAATCGTGCTTTTATTACAAATCCCAAAGGCCTTTCACAGCAACTCTGCAAGGTTAGCTTTGGAACCTGAGGTCTGGACCTGTAAAATGATTCGCTCATAAACACACAGCTTGTGTAAGTGACAGGAAGGGAATTCTCTCCAGACCCGCGTGGAAGTCCACCATCCTTCCTTTGATATTACAAATGAAGTTGGTTTCAAACAAGGGGTTGAAAGTTTCCTTAGATTTCATTTCCCAAAGTATCTAGTTACTATTTAGGGAATTTCTAAATCTGATTTTTCTCTGAATGGAGTCACTCACAGGCCAAGTAAAAGAAAGAAAATCCCAACATAACGGACTCTAACCTCCTGGTCACTTACTCAAGGGCCCACAGGAGCTACTTTTTGTGAGTTTCTCAACACTGTCTAGAAATATCCCTTTAGACTTGGCCATAGCAGGCTTTTCCACAGGGAAGGAGACAAGGTACCAACTGTCCCTGGGCCCACAGTGGCTGGAGTGGCTACACAGAGAACACAGAGCAACAGAGGCTCCGACCTTCTGAACCAGGGCAGCTGTAAGTTTGTCAGGAACTGAATTTGATCCTCCCCCTTCACAGAGAAACCAGAGGGGCCATCCTCTCAGAATCCAAATCTGAGGACACCCCTGGCAGCGAGGTATTAGAGATCCCTGCTGCAGCCTGTCAGCAGAAAGAAGCCAAACAGGAGCTTCCCTCTGACCCAGCAGAAAGAGGTGGAAAACACGGGAAAGTCTGAAAAAGCTGGGCACGGCGGTGCATGCCTGTAATCCCAGCACTCGGGGAGACTGAAGCCAGTTTAAGTTATATAGCAAGTCCCTGTCGCACCTACCCAAGCCCAGAAGGAAGGGAGGGAAGGAAAGAGGGAGGGAGGAAGGTGGGAGGAAGGAAGGAGAGAGAAAGGGAACCTTCCACCTCCACTCACATCACCTCCATCTTTCTCACTGCTTTAGAAACCAAGGAACTCGCAGTGAACAGCACCTGCCGATGTCGGCCTACAGACTCTCGCCCGTGAAGCCAGAGCAGCCACTCGGGGACCAGGTGAGTCCTCCACCTTGCCACACTCCTCAGGAAATGCGGTGAGAGTTAACAAACGGCACAGAGGTAGGCAGAAGGAATGTGGCCAACATAAACTAACACCCAGGGCAGTTTGGAGCTGTCATTTACCACCCTATCCAATCTGACCTGATACTCAGCCACAATGAATACACCCATCTGCCAGCATGCCACCCTGCATCTGCGTCACTCCCACATCTCCCTGGGCAGGAGACGGAGAAAAGAAGAGAAATAGTGGTAATGACTAGAGGGAGAACTCAGTTGGCTGCGTGCCTGCCTAGCATACAGGAAGCCCTGGGTTTGGACCCCAGCACCACAAAAATAGAGCAGAATGGTGCAAATCTGCAATCTCAGCACTTAAGAGGTGGATCGTATGTTAAAGGTCATCGTCAGCTACGTAGTGAGTTAGTGGGCAGCCTAGGCTGAGATTCCACATCATCATCATCATCATCATCATCATCATCGAAGTCTATTACTAGGACTAAAGGACAACTAACACTCATGCAATTCTCCTTCTAACCTCTTGGGGGCGCTCTGGATGAGAGGCTAGCACCTCATCTAGAACTGACCTGTGCTCTCAAAGAAGCAGCCCTAAACCAGGAGAAAGGTATCAGCTAGCAGAGAGCAGGGGCCACTGTATTGGAATAGAGTATTAGTTTAATTATGGAAAGATGCGTTGCATTTGTGTTGTAGAATATTTGTTTAACTATGTAAAAAAGTGGTGTGTTTATGCTGAATTTGTTTAATTGTGCAAAGGTTTGTTGCTGTTGTTTACGCTGGCATTCGTTTAACTAGGTAAAATGTGTTGCTGCTTCACCTTGCCTGCCTAAGGCTGGCCAATAGCTAAGCAGGAGGGAATAAAGGAGGGAATAAGTGGAGCTGGCAGGCAGAGAGAAAACGTGGGTGGGGGGGTGCGGAGGGGTGAGAAGCCAGCTGTGGCCCAGTCAGCCAGACACAGTCATGGAGGAAGCAGAAGCAGCAAGCAGGATGGACAGTATACAGGTGAGGTCTTGGAGCAGCACACAGACTAACAGAAATGGGTTAGTTTAAGCTTTAGAAACACTAGCTAGAGCCAGGCGGTGGTGGCATGCGCCTTAAATCCCAGCACTCAGGAGGCAGAGGCAGGTGGATCTCCGTGAGTTCGAGGCCAGCCTGGTCTATAAGAGCTAGTACCAGGGCAGGCTCCAAAGCTACAGAGAAACCCTGTCTCGAAAAAACAAAACAAAACAAAACAAAACACCACTAACTTAGAAACAAGCCTGAAGCTAAGGCCAAGCATTCACAATTAATAATAAGTCTCCGTGTCATGATTTGTGAGTTGGCAGTACAAGAAAGCCTGCTACAGGAGACCTCAGGATAGGGTGTCCTTCTCCTGAACCAAGGTGCAGCAGCAAAGAGGCCTCTAGCCTGGTCTCCAATATGTCAGGGCACTACTGGAGAGGGGACTGTCCAGGAAACAGCTGCTGAAGAGACCAGGTCATTGTGAATGAAGAATGTCTTCCAGATGTGCTCTAGATGAGGCTAGAGTACAGCTACCGTGGTGTCTTCCCACGCTAGCATCAGGACAAAACGCCATGAGTAAGCTGGACTGAGCCATGGACCTGTACAACCAAGGTGGATTAAACGGGCAGGATGGAGGCCAAGAGGCTGAAAGCAAGAATCAGAACAGAAGCATCCATACATGGACGGCAGGGGACTCACTAAGCCCAGTTTGTACAATATAATCATAGAGAGGATGGCCACAGTAATTAGCCAGACCCCTTATAACCTGAGCACAGGGCCACCCTCTGTCCACATCACTTAAGGGCTGGGGAAAACCCTTCAGAAACAGCCTTGGCCCCAAATCCCTCTCAGACTCCCTGACAGAGAGGTCTACCAATAATGCCTTGCGGCCTGTTCTCAGAAAACTCAAGGTCAATTCCTCCACCCACTGCTGCTGGCCAGGGTTTGTTCGCAAGTTATTATTAAAGATATTATTACCAATAACTGTTCTGGTCATCTGAAGTTACCCATCTAATCCCAGTTGTACCCAACCCTGATAGTTATTTGTTCCTGTGATCTACACACACACACACACACACACACACACACACACACACACCAGACAAACACACTCTGCTAGGATGGGAACACAGTCCTATAGGTAGAAATTGTGTTCATTTTCCTGTCTTGTGGCTTTGCCAGGTAGTATCTGTACCAGCAAGGATCAAGCTTCAGGCTCTGCCCCTGCCTTGGCAGCCATCCAAAAAGCCAGCCAGTCTGGGAAGGGTTAAGCACCTGGGGGCCCAGCACAGCCGGTGGCTGAGCTGTCGAGCAGGGCAGCCTCCCATCCATGGCACAACGGGCTCACGCACGAGCCTGCCAGCCGCCGCCTTTGTTGATGGACTCTGCCACATGCTCGGCTGACACGCGATGCTCCGCCCTGGCGGGGCTGGTGCCAGGCCGCCGGCCAAGCACCAGGCAGAGCGCCCCGCCGCCGGTCGCAGGTCTGGGGAGACTCTGAGGTACGAGGTACAATCTCCAGAGTCCTGGGCCTGGGTTCCCAGACACAGACAGTGAGGAGTGGCTTCCCAGCTGGAAAGTGTCAGGTTTCAACCGGTTCTACCACTTTCCCCCACTCAGGCCCCAGCTCAGGACTGATTACCGGTTTCCCACTGTTCCTCGGCCAGGCACACCCCCAACCGCTCAGTCTCACTTCAGCTTTCTCCTAGAGGCAAGCCCCCAACTTGGGTCTGGGGAGTTTGTCCTGCCAGCCTGCAGGAAACCATCCCATTGGCAGGGCGGGATCGCAGTATCTCTCTCATCTCTCGGGAAGCTAAGTAGGCAGCTGGAGCTCTCAAGGACAAGAGTACCCATCTAACTGGGCCTACCCAGTTCATCATAATGACAGCACCCAAGGCTAAAACTCTGAAACACATCCTGAGGCCTGGCAACTCCAGAGTTACTGACGAGAGGACAAAGGCCGGCCGTGGCTTCCCAGCCCCATCGGTCTCAAGCCCCGCCCCCCCCAAACCCGCATGCCTACTTGCTGCATGTGAAGCCGATGGAACTGGTCTGCAATGCACTGAAGCTTTCTGGCGATCTGTACCTCTGCTCGATGTTGCCACTGTCCTTCAGGGGGCTGCTCCCCAAGGGGCAGGCCTGCAGGGAAACTGGCAGGGAGAGGAAGCCTGTAGCCAGCATTGCCTGCAAAGACAGAGGAGGCACAGCTCAACATTTTCTATCCCTACCCCATCTTCTCCATGTCAAGACCTGGAGTTACTGGTAAACCTTATGATAGAAGGAAGAGGAAGCGGCCTGCCTGCCTTTACCAGGGCATTCTGCCAAACTTGGAGAGCTGCCCAAGAGTATAAAAGTTGGTACAAGGGCTGAGAGTGTAGCTTAGAAGTAGTTGAATATTTAACACACTCGAGGGTTTAGATTCAATCACTCACACACACTCACACATGCACACTGGAAAAACAGGAAAGAAAATAGACCCTGCCTTCTTCTCCACTCTCAGTACCATAGCATAGCGCAGGTGCTAATGTGTATGACGTACACGCCAATAATCTGTCATTTATCGAGCTACACTTGACCTCGAGGTATTATTCGTGTAGTGGCAGGTTGAAGCTCTTCTCTGGGAAAACTCTCCAGAGTTCATGGGCTGAGCAAAGCAGAGAAAAGCAAATCAAAACAAAACAAAACAAAGAAACCAAAAGTGTCTTCGTTTTTCTAGTACAGTTAAGGAAAGCTGGGCTCAGCACTCAAGAAGAGAGAGCAGCAGCAGAAAAGCCAGTGAGAAAACTCCTGAGGCTCACATAGCAGCCAAATCGGCTCACCGAGTGCTGGCACCAGAATGGCCGCTGGGGGCGCCTGCCACCTCCTGCCTCCTCCCTCTTCCAGCCCGAAGCAGGCCTCCTCCAGCTTCTCAGACTCCCGCCAGAACTGCTTTTCCAGAAGTGCCCTATGGGCAGTTCCCTCTGAGATTAAGCGCAGCGGCTTCTCGGTCTGCTCCCGCAGACCCAGCAGGATGACCTCTGAGCCTTTACCCTCCCTCCACAGGCCAGTATGCTAAAAGAAGAAAACAGACCAAGTGTCTAATCCTGCCCTTTTGCCAGAGGAGGGCAGATTTCTCATAAAACAAACCATTTAAGCCCACAAATGAAGGGGTCTTGTCTGATTTAGCCTTGGAAATAGCCCCTCCTCTGGCGCTGAGCCCAGGCAGGCCCAACCTCTTTCTCCAGTTCCCCTTCCAAGCACAGAAAGTCCCAAGTGACAACTCAAAGCCACCTTCTGTCTTCAGGAACCTTCCGTATAAGAACTGGCTGGGCTTTTCCTTGAGTGTCAACAGTGACACACAGTTAATAGTCCTTCCACTCCGTGAAAGACAGATCGGCACCGGGGCCCAAGAGGCAGAGCCACAGGAAAGATATTAGGATGTGAAGGAGACTGCATGGACCCAAGGAAGCAACAGGAGGAACAGAGCAATTTGTCCTTTGGGGACCTAAGCAAGGTGAAGAAGGTTGAAGGATCGATAGATAGCCCTGGCTGTTCGGTTTGGAGAAGGAACTAGTAACCAGCAGGTTTGGCAAGGGAAAGTCCCCTCATTTCCCCCAATCTCTAAGGCTAAGAGCACTCACCGTAAAAGAGTCTCTGGGGTTCCTCTGTCACCCCACAAGGCAGCATAACACCCTGGCTTGGGGAAGCTGGGCTGAGGGTCTGGGTGGCCTTGTCTTCCTGGCTTATGGGCCGAAGCCCAGGACCACAGCAATGGGTGAGGGGGAAGAGCTGAAGCCGACTGAGGGGACAATCCAGCTGGCTCTGGGCAAACAGGTCCGCAGAGAGCAAGCTCCCAGGTTGTGTCCCTGGCTCCCCATCCTCTGACTGGAACACATCATCTTCCAGCTCCTCCACACACTGAGGTGGCTCCATCTCTCCTGTCAGAGAACAATGGATGCATCTGGAATGCTGTCCTACTGAGGCCAGATCAAGGATTCTCCTCCCTCCTTTCTCTCCCATTCTTCTTTGAGGAAACCAAGCCAGCTTCTGATGAGACACAACCCGGTGATAAAACACTGCCAAGGGTGATAATCACCCCTAAAGTGTGGACCACCCCAATGGTCAGGGCTCCTCCACACCTCCTCCTTGCACCCACCACAGTCACCTTGCCCCACCCCCTCTGACCTAGGTGGGTCACAAAGTTTGACACTGAGGGCTGTAAGCAAGGGGTGAGATCAGGAGCTACCACAAGGTACCCGGGAAAATATAAGCGAGACTAAGCTCTATAAGTGACTGTGGGGGCACAGAAAGGGGCAGTGACTAACTGTACAAAGTGTACAAAGTGTTCACAACACACACATACGCGCGCGCGCGCACACACACACACACACACACTAAGGAGGAACCTCTAAGCTCTTGCCTAAGTCTGAGTTGAACTCCAGGCTCAGCAGCAAAAACAAAAGCCAGCAATTGTAGAGCCGCCAGGTTCCCTCCTAACGTGCTAAGCCCCACCCTCCTGCACATCTCCACCCCCCTCCTTGCACAACACAACAAACAGGCTCTGTGGTGTGGTGAGAGTGTCCTGGAACAGGGGACCTAAGCTAGTCACTCCAGCTGCCTGGCTCAGCACTCTTCCCGTGGAGCAGAGCTGTCTGCCCACCACAGGTTAACCTCGAGGGCAGAATCAGCCACCAGCAAAGTGTCCAGCTATAACTCTACCCACTAATCTCCATGACTTCAAATTCTCATCCCCTCAGCCTCCAACTCCTGCCAGAGCTGAACCTGAGATAGGTACAACGTGCCTCACAGAAGGAAGTGAAATTCAGCCCGCTTGCCGAGCGCGCTCTCTCACTGCCTACACCGTGGGGCTGTTTCTCAGTGCTAAGTTCCTCTCGCTCCACCTGACGGCTCTTGAAATTCTGCCCTTGGAGTCACCCAGCAGCTCGAGCTTCCAAGCATGCCCGTGGGGCAACCAGAAGCATCGGCAAGTACCTGAATAGTCAAGGCGCTGCAAAAACAAATTCTGTCACCTTCGGACTCTGCTAGAGATTCCCAGGAGGTCCGGCACCCCAGCTTGCCTTTGAAAGACAAGCCAAGTGGTTTGTGGGTTTTTAAAGAATTTTTTTTTAATTCTTGCCTTTAAAGAAATCTCAGTTAAGTTCAGAAACCTTCCTTTCCCAAATTGTGAGCTCTGTGAGGTTGCTTCAACTTCCCTTCATCTCATCCCATCCCTGACCTATCTGCAGTCTTATCTCTCTCTGCTCTCTTCCCTAGAGAATGATGCCATGCCTGCCAGGGCGGCAAAGCAGAGATCTTTGGATATTGTTCCAATTGGTCAGGGGGACCACCAGCTTATCAGCAACAGAAAAATCAAGTTCCCAGATAAAAGGACCAAGAGTTGTCACCTAGCAGGGCTTCTCCCGTCCCTCAACCCCTTCTCTGCAGGCTGGCAATCCCAACCAAAGTGGGGACCCTCTAGAACCAATCACAAGTGGACGTCATTGTCTTGGTGTTTCTTTTGATGCCTATCACTCCCCTCCCCCTCGCAGCAAAGCCCCAAAGTTCAACCCTTGCTTAGACTGGACAGTGGGGGAGGTGCAGACAGAGGGTGTGACTCTGAAAAAACGCGGAGACCCTCTTCCACTCTGCACAAGAACTGCAGGTGGCTCTCCGGTTGGTGTGAGCCTCCGAGGGGTTCTGGGCAAAGACATATAAAACGGGAAAAAGTAGAGACCCTCGGCTTCCCTGAGCTAAAGTGGTAATGATAGGAAGAGGACACTTCCTGAGAGCACCGTCAGAGAACGCTTTATTCCTAGCAAAGGGATTTAAAGTCCGCTGAGCCAACGCCGAGCCACAGAGCTCCAACTGGGATGCTCAATTAAAACTCCTCAAATTCTTAGGAGCTGGCACTAGCCAGATACCTTGAACCTCGATAGTGGCTAAAATTTCAGAACACACGCGCGCACACACGAGCGCACACACACCTGGGTGACTCCAGGACAGCGTCTCAGCCTCCGAGTCGTGATGCCAGGGCTCTGCGCCAGGGTCCAGGGTGACGAGCACTCGGGGGGCTTGGTGCCCACGCTCGATTGGGAAGGAGGAGGCAAACTCCAGCTGTTAAGAAGAGGACCCTTCAGACTCCGCAGGGAGGCCAAAAGCACCACAACTCACAGCCCCACCCCAGAGTCAGACCCGGAGGCCAGAGCATTCAGGCCGCTTGGCAGTGCATCCTAGGGTCACTTGCCCACCTAGTCTTAACTCTTAGTTCCAAATGTTTCCCGCAAGCCCCGCCTGGAACAGCACGCCCAAATTTGTGCTCTGCACCCCGTTCCCACATTCCAGCACTCCAACTTCTCATGGTCACCCCAGATGCCCACAATTCAAACCCTTCCCCGGCCCCCACGCGCCCCGCGATTCCGCTCCCCACTTCCCGGAGGAGGTACGATCCAATTCCGCCTGGCCCCCGGCCGCCCAGGCGCTCACCGGGCTGCGGCGGGAGGCGGTGGCGCGAACTGGAGCAGCGACTGCTGCGGGCGCGAGCTGGCGCGGGAGGAGGGCCACGGCGCACCGCGCGGTATTGTTTCCAAAATACGCCCGCTCCGGGCATCCCGCAAACAGCTGATGAGGCCCCGCCCCTCCTCGCGTCACTCCAACCATTGACCAATGACAAGTGGAGCTCCAAGTCTCAGGCTGGGCAGCTGCCAGGGACGGTCACTAATGTACGAACCTTCCCTTGGAAACACTATAAGGGGCCGAGCGCATTTCTGACCTTCGCCAGAAGCGCAATTGGAGCGCCGTGTCGGGTGAGGATTCGGTTCCAAAGGCAGTCCCCAGAAGCACCAGAGAGTCCCTGGGTTCTCCACTAGGGGGGGGGGGGGCCCGGGGCGGGCGCCGAAGTGACTTTTGTCTACTTGGAAATGGGCTGAATTATTGCGGGGCTTCCAGAAAGTTGGTTCAGAAGGCGGCTAGGAGCTTTCAGCGGCTTGCAAGTTGTAGCGGGAAAAACGAGTTGTCGGTCCCTAGTGAAGAAAACAAAAACAAAAACCGCCCCCTCGCCTGGTTGGGCGGGTCCGAAGAAAGCTGGAGGAGAACACGTGTGTCCGTGTCTGTAACCAAATGACATTCGGTTTCAACAAGTGCAATGAGAGACCCACATCCTCTCTTCTGGACTGGCGAAAAAAAAGATCCTGGCAGAGGAGAGATCAAGGGGGCAGTTTGGGCAGCCGACATACTTGGTGGCAGCGTCGGAAAACTGCGTGGGCCTCTGGAAAGCAAACCGCAGCCCATGTACTATGGTCAATCCAAGGAGGACTGCACATTTCTTGAACACCTACTGTGTGCCGGCTACTGGACAAGGTGCCAGACTTCCGGTGCCTGTCCTCAGTGAGCTTCTACTCCACCTGCGAATAAGGAAGCAGCGTGAATGATGTTCATTTTCAGGATAATGATGGCTGATGAGTGCAGAAAAATTCAGAATACAAAGATTTTTGAGTCGGACCTAGAAGAACGGAGAATTTTTCATTAAGTAAAAACCAAATAAAATAGCCCAGGCCCAGAGAGGGCAGGAAGCTAGAATAAAGAACTCAGTGGAAAGCTTGTCCAAGAAGCAGGGGCAGGACGGTTCACTAAACTCTTTGATATGCTCTCCTTGATTTAAACGTGTAAGTGTAGGGAGGTGGGTTCGGGTCAGACTGCAGAGGTGCCCCCGGAATAATGTCAGGCCGAGAAATCTGTATTTTATAGAGGGCTAGCAGCAAAGATTTTTCCAGAAGATGAATTTGAGGAAAACACTGAGAGGCGGAAAGGGGAGGAAGGAGAGAGGGGGAGCAGAAGTCAGTGAACCGAAGCGATCCCTGCCACAGGTCATTTTATATATATATATATACACATATATGTGTGTATATATATGTATATATATACATATATATATATATATGTATATATATATGAGCTGTCATAAAGGCAGGCATGGGCCAACCAGAGCTGTGGGCTAAATAGTCTCTACCTGCTCCAAGATACCTGTTAGATGGAACTGGTGCTCCCAGATGTAAGTGTCTTTGGCCATTTTTGGTTTTACATTTTTACTTTTGTTTCTTCCTTAATTGCTTTTTTAATTTTTTAGGCTTATTTATTTTTGCTTTCTGTGCCTGCATGTATGTCTGTGTAACATGTGTGTGCCTGATGCCTAAAGAGGTCCTAAGAGGAGGTGGAATCCCCTGAAACCAGAGCTAAAGAGGAGTGTGAACCACCATGTGGATTCTGGAAACCAAACCCTGGGTCCTTAAGTTCTCTTAACTGCTGAGCTGAGCCATCTTCAGCTTTTTCTCTCTTTTTTGGGGGGTGGGGTAGGGTAGGGAATGTGGTTCAAAACAGAGTTTCTTTGTGTGGCCCTCACTGTCTTGGAACTCACTCTGTAGACCAGGCTGGCCTTGCAGAGCTATGCCTTCCAAGTGCTGGTATTAAAAGGTTGTATCACTACCTGCTCCTCCTGCTCCTCCTCTTCTTCTTCTCTCTGTCCCCCTTTCTTTTTTTTTCCTTTTTTATTTTTTTTGTGATAGTGCCTTGTGTGTAGTCGGTTGCCTTCAAACTCTGTATATAGCCAGAGATGACCTCTTGCTCTTCCATCTTCCAAAAGTTGGGAATCACAGGCATGCACCACCATGCCAGACTCCCTTTGCCTTTACTATCTGTTATGTCCTCTGTTTCCTCAAAATTCCTCCAAAAGAAGTAAAGAATGAAGCAGGTGTGCAGAGGGCTGTGGTCTGTGATTGCTCCTGTAAGAGAATTCTAATCCCTGATGAGAGACAAAGATGAGGAGGGTCAAGGTTGACCAGGAACTGATAGATGTTCAGCAGGAGATGCTGGAGCCAAACGGAGGTACATTATTTCACCAGGAGGCTTGGTCACGGGAGACGTCAGAGGGTCAGAGTGACCTAGGACGCGTGCCACATACGGGGAAGTGAAGGACCAGTGGCTCAGAAAAGCGTGAGGAATCCCCGCACACCGGACCCTTCTCCTCCTTCCCTGTATCTTCATCACTGACGTCCTCCTGGGGCCTGTGCCTCAGGCTAGCTATATGCATCTCTTGAACTTGCAAGAGGGTAGGAGGCTCAGACCCTCTGGTGGTGTTGCTTTCCCGGCCCTCTCCCCAGCCTGCTCCCTCAGGCTACTTCTGAAGGACACAGGTGGCTTGGTCTCTAGTACACGCAACCTTTAGGGTCAGAGAGCAAGAGGCCCAGCCTTCCAGTGGGAGAGACCAGAGAAGGGATGTCTGGAATAAAGAGGTCAGAGAGGTCAGGAGCCTCACTCCCACCACTCATCATTGTCAAAGCAGACCCTCCCCCCTCTGCCCTTTCTCCTCCAGCAGCACCGGCGACAGAGCAAATGTCAGGATCTGCCAGCTGGAGATCCGGGTTGAGTCTCCGGTTGTACAGCGGCAGCGGCAGCATAGGTGTCGAGGCACGCGAACCTTTGGGCTCTGAGCGAACGCACTTTACAGCATAGCAATCTGCCTTTCGGGCAATTTTCTCCTTCCCTTCCCACCTTCTCACTCCAGTTTGTTCTCTGCTGACTGATGCTGGCACTGCCAAGAGAGTCCCCAGAGAAAAGCCTTGGCCAGGAGGCTGAGAGGGAGGAGGAGCCTCTGGACAATGTAGGGGAGATGCAAAGATGAGGCAGATCCTCTGCAGGAGCTCCGCACTGATTCACCCGGCAAGGGGAATGGGCTCTGAAGCTCCAGTAACTGGATCACCGGGGAGCGTGATTTTTAAACCCCAGACAAGCTGTCCTGGAGTTACTGAGGCTTGTAATGTAACCTCCAGAGGAGGGTTAGATGGGAAACTGATTTATATAAGGTAGGGTCCTGCTGGGGAAGTCCATGGTGCTTTCCTCTTGACCCCCTTCAGGAGGGATCAGCCATGTAGGAAGACTAGGGACCTCTAAGGTTTAGGGGTCCTCTCCTTTGTTGGACCTGCCTAGACAGATTCTCTATGCATCATCCTAACTGCACACACACACAATCCTCTTTTCTGAGTTGCAGTGTGTGTGTGAGAAATTGACAGACACAGACAGAAAAAAGTAATATACTAGACAAGGGTAGAAGCTCTACCTGTAATCCCAGCACTGGAGAGGGATGGCAGGAAGACTGCCAGGAATTCAAAGAATATACCAGAACGGATTGACTTCTGTGCACACGGAGGGACTTGATCTGCATGGCAGTGAGCTTACTGCTCACTAATTATGGACTCAGGGGGATTCAGGCATAAGAAGCAGGTGTGGAAGAGGCAGCATCCAGGGATTCCAACGCCAAGAACTAAAGCATACTAGATCCAGGGCAACCTAAAAGATGGTGCAGAGTTCAGGGCCCGCCCTGTGCACTGTGAGCACCCAGTATAGGGTCAGCATGTGGTTGCTGAGTGAGTACAACAGTGCTCGTTCCCATTTTCAGAGGAACAGAAACAAGTGCCAGAAAGTGGGGAGAAAGCGGCCTTGGAGGATTTTCAGTGTCTTCGTCCTTGGGACACCTGACTTTCCCTAGGTTCTCATCAGCAGAGGGAACCCCTCAAGGAGGCAGAGGTGATGTCCACCGCCCCTGGTCCATATTTGGGACATCATAACTTCACTGTCTGTGCAGGCAGTTTACTAAAAAATTGACCCCAAGCCAGGTACCAGGACAGTGTTCTGGGCTCCTCTCCCCCGTGCTGTCCAGACCAAGGGAAAGAACCGACTTTATCTTACCAAGGACTGGAGAGACTCCCATCAAAGTATACTCCTTTTTGCTTCACTGACGCCAAAAGAAGGTGGCCTCTTTTGGACAAAAATACGTCAGTATATTATTAGATACTTTTCACTGGATTAGCAGAGAAATTACAGGATTTTCCAGAAGAGACCAAACAGATGGGCAGCTATCAAGGAATCCTGGCATTGGGAAGAGGTGGGAACCAATCCCTCCTGACATTATCTGTGGTAGTTTGAACAAGAATGTCCCCCCTAGTCTCAGGCATTTAGACACTTGGTCCCCAGTTGGTGGTGCTGTCTGGGGAGGGTTAGATGGTACAGCCTGGCTAAGGAAGTGCTGTTAATCCCACCAGGCGAGAATAAGAGCACTACTACAATTTTGAGTCAAATTTGAAGCAAGCTTTAATTAAATACTGACCAGGACGATGGTCAGGCCCGTTCCTGGGTTCCTAGAAAATGGTGATGAGTCACATCTTGCGGAGACTTAAAAAGATAACCCCATAAGCCCACAGTATTTCCTATCAGGTCCAATGGGGCAAGCATACATCCTGACATATTTCCTGCCTGTGTATCTCCCACCTACGTGTGATCAGTCACATATAGTGTAGTTGAGTGGAGCAAACTTGTGTAGAGTGGTGAAAACAAACAGCAGCCTCCAGCATCAAAAGTATCTGTCTTCTGTTTGTTTGGTTTTTTGTTTGTTTTGATTTTTTGAGACAGGGGTTTTTCTGTAGCTTTGGGGCCTGTCCTGGACCAGACTGGCCTTGAACTCACAGAGGTCCTCCTGGCTCTACCTCTCAAGTGCTGGGATTAAAGACATGTTCCACCATTGCCCGGCTGACATTTTTGTTTCATGGATCTCTTAGGCAT